TCCCTTCCAACTTCTAATATTCTGTGATTCCTCTGTAATCTCCACTCCAGTTGTGGCCTTGCAGAGACTCCTGCCTGCTCTCCTGTGTATCTGTCTGTGGCTGCTCTGTGTTAATATCTGCTTTGTTCTCAAAAAATACTTATGTTTCTAATTTGTCTTTTTGCACTTTGCGTTTCTTTTTCTCTCTCCTCCCTCCCCTTTTTTTCCTCTGCTCTGCCTAATCTTTGTAGTACTTGGGGACACATACAATATTCCTTTAGATCCCAGAGGTAAGCAGTCTTACCCACGCGTACCTGTTCTTATTGCTTTGGACTCCGGTGATGTATGTTAATTCTTTATCCTCCAGGAGTGGTAAATAAATTAACACATAATTCAAAAAGGGAAAAAAGGGAAGGGTAAGTAACTCTTGCCAGTGGGCCAGGGAGAATAGAGGGAGCTTGTCACTAGCAGACAATGAGGGATGCCACACGAGCTGAAACAGGCTAAAGACACTCTCATGGCACTGAGTCTCTTTGGCACAAGTAGCAAATTGGCCCAGCTGGTATCGTGCTTTATCCCATGTGCGCTCAGCTCCTTATTGTCCAACTCCCAGCAACAGGAGCCTTGAGGCCTTTCCCATGGGGTGCTTATGAATTCGGACCACCCGAGCTAGGCCTGGCTGCCAAACTCTCTGGTGGGAGGAGGAGGAGGAGATGGCTACCCCACGTGTCCTGTGGGACCCATGCCCACAAGCCCTTGAGGGCAGAAAGCCATCTCTTATGCATAGATGGAGGAACATGTGCCAACCTGGAGTCATTGCTTGTAAGGGCAGGCTCCCATGCTGGTGCAGTCCCTCATCCAGAGCCAAGCAGGCCCTGTCAGCAACCATGGGGATGGCTGAAACTTTCCAGAGTGCTTCTGCTTGTTTCAATTACTACTGTGTGTCTGCTGTTAACAGCTCCAGCTCATTTGTTCTCTGATAGCCAATTTCTAGTGCTTACAAATGTTTTTCAGGTGGTGGGGGAAGGATGGGGACGATGTGTTTAATGATTCTATTTCTGATCAAGAGGATGTTCTCTGAGCATGAGGAAGGAAAGGAGAGATTTCTGCAGGGGTGCTCAGCACTTGTTGCAGATTCAGGGATTGAGGGGTGCAGAGCCTTTCCACCCTCACCCTGGGTAAGCTGCTGACAATCTGCACTGAAGCAGGGAGCTAATTTAGCTGTCATGGGGAGCTCTGCACTGATTCCATAGCAATGGGGATGAGGCTTGTTTGAATAGAGGGAAGCTGACCACACATCCCCCCCTTCCCTTCATGGTGTGTTAACTGGCTTAAAAGTCCTCTCTTTTCAGAGACCAGCTCTTCAGCAAGTAGTTACAGTTCAGAGTTCAGCAG